TGGAGGTTGACTTTTACGGCGACAGAGAAATACATTGAAGAGAATCCTCTTATAGGCTACTAATAAATTATCATCTACCCATTGAAAATACCATTTTTTTTTCTTTTTTTATTGCATTTTAGGTTTTGGGGCACATGTGAAGAACATGCAAGATAGTTGCATGGGTACCATTTTTTAGAGAAACATGGCCTCACTTTTTTTTGCCTATGTCGTATTGTATACTCAGAAAACTTTGCAGGAAGGTTCTGACTAGAAATCATATCTCTTGGCATGGAAGTTTATACAAACTTTCACTATTTTTTTATCAATCACTCTTAAGCAAATAGTTCTAGTGAGAAGATAATGCAAACAAGCAAGAATGCCCTAAATCAGACTGTTTTAGAAGAGAATGGACACTGTGGCGGAGATGACTACCTATCCACAAAAGATTCTTGCTTCTGATCCATATTGTAAACTTATAATTGAATAGTAGCTGCCTAGTTGTCTGACTCCCTTCGAATTAGATGGGGGTGATTGTGGTTGAGTTCTAGCTAATGGAAACAGGAGTAACACTATTTTTGTTATTCCCAGACATGGTCCATGATCCTTAAAAACTTCTTATGTAATAATACACTCTTTCTTCCCCCATCTGCCATCTCGTTGTTCAATTCTAGTGTGACATTTGAAGATCCACGCTGAAGATGAGGGAGCTTCTGACAACCTGAGCCCCGGATTAACTACATGGGCATTACCTTCCCACAACTACCAACTGGACTTGACATCCATGAGAAATAAACTTCCATTGTTGTAATCCATCTACTGAGAATTTTTACTTTAATCTTCCGTCAACAAACTAGCATTTACCTTTGCTAATGCAGACACAAATGTGTCTTGTTTTTTATTGTTCAAGGTACCATATCTTATTTGGTAAAATAATAATAATAATTTACTGGATTTACTTTGAAGAGTTTACCTCGAAAACTACCTCCCAAATTTACTAAGACCCTTCTGCTTTTTCGATTTCTTTTTCTTTGTTTATAATAAATGCAAATTATGGAGTGAGATCAATGGACCTATTGACTCATAATTAAATTCCAAGGCCTGTGTTAGCTATTTCAAGGATGTCATATGTTGAGAAGGGAAAGAGGAGTGTAAAGAGATAAGACATGAATACAAGGAGTTGGGCGTGCTGGCATATGCTTATAATTCCAGCACTTTGGGTAGCCAGTGGATCACTTGAGCCCAGGAGTTTGAGACCAGCCCGGGAAACATGGTGAAACCTGGTCTGCACTAAAAATACAAAAGTTAGCCGGGAGTGGTGGTGCATACCTGTAGTCCCAGCTACTCAGGAGGCTGAGGCAGGAGAATTACTTGAACCTGGGAGGTGGCGGTTGCAGTGAGCCAAGATCATACCACAACACTCCAACCTGGGCAACAGAGTAAGAGACTCCATCTCAAAAAAACAATAATAATAACAAAATAAAATAAAAGGCATGAATACTTATTTCTTCAAGGACAGGTTTAATGTCTTATTATTCAATTTGATTGGTTTAGCATCTAGTACATGATATATATTCAACAGGGTTCGTGACTGACTGATCCTTCAAGAGGCTTTACAAGATCAAAGTGCCCAAACCAGGTACTTCCAGATATTTTCTTTGAAAATAGAGAGATGACCATAAAATAATTTTAGTGACGAAAGCTAGGGGTTGCTATGATTCACTGTTCATAATTTGATTCTTTCATTTTCTGCTGAACTGGGCTTAGATTAGTACAATTTTGTAGCAAAAATATTCTTTTCTTTTGAAGTATGAATCACTTTTCCTTGAATTTTAATGATGTCCATATGCCATTACCCTAAATTGACCAAAATGGCATCCTGCAAAATATGCAATGTACCTTTCAATTTCCATGATTTTTTCACTTTGTTTTTCCTGCCTGGGTATGTTCCCTTCTATTATTCCTGTATCTAATGCCTGCCCTTTTTAGAGACTAGCTCAAATCCCATTCATTGTCCCATGCCATTGCAGACTCAAATGACCTTTTTGTTCTCTAAGTTCCTCTGGCTCTAAAGTCATCCATAAATTACAAATCGTAAACTACTTTGCTTCTTTATCTTTATCAGCAGGCATTTTGTTTATCCAATCACATTAAAAATACGAAGAGTATAGAGTGCGTCTTAGACTATTTTACATCCCCAACACCTAGCAGAGCAACTTTGTCTTATACATAGTAGGTATTAAATGTTTAAAAAGAGGCAGACTCCTGTAACTGTGTCAAAAAAAAAAAAGAGATAAAAAGAGGTAGATAGTAAAAAAAAAACACTGTCATGTATAAGCAAAGAAATATGTACAAGGATGCTGTCTGTGTACTTTTTTGTACTAACTAAAGATGAGAAACAAGTTAAATGCCTATCAGTAGAGGGCTAAATGAATCCTGGTACATCTATGGATTATTGTAGCTTGCAGCAATTCAAAAAGAAGACACCTGCTCTTTATAAACATGAAGGGAAGTATCTTCAAATATATATTAGGCGGATAAAAAGTAGCAAGTTAGTATGTGTGATACACTTTGTAAAATAAAAATGATGCTTGTATAGTCATAAACATTTCAAAGAGGATATACAAAAGACTGTTAAAGGTGGTTGTTTATGGGGATGAGAAAGGAAGGCAGAAATAACTATAGTTCTTAAATTCACAGCAAGATTCTGGTTAGATTATTTGCTTTATTTATTATAGGAACTAGGCACAGGCACGTTCCTATATACATAGTTAATTGACATCCAAGATTCAACGTTATAGTCAACAGGTACAGCAGGAGCACTGACAGATAAGAAGAGGTATCAGCTGTGAAGCCGCTGCGGTTGAAGTCATACCTGCCGAATATTACAGTCCTGTGCTCAATTGATTTCCTATGTCACTTGGATTGGTAGCAATGCAATTTGAAACCTACACTCAAAACTGATTCTTTAAAAAACCAAGCACTTTTGCTAATCAAGTTGCTTAAATACTGAACTGATTAACCAAACCTCTCTTGACATTTAAGGCTTTTGTCATTATTCATGTTTCCCCCGCCTCCCAGCTTCCACCACAGGTTAACAAATTTATAAGTAGGACATCCGAACAGTTCAATGGAAAAAACACCTACTAAGGGATTCCTATCATCATGAGAATCATGTTTGTCTCTCCTTGTTTTGATGGCAGGAGAGATACAATACAATTCTGGAAAACTAGTAATTCATTTCAAACCCAAACAGAAAGTATTATATTGGCCACTAGATGGCCCCCATATATATTTTTCCACCATTTCCAAGAAAACATGGAAGAAACAAGTGAGAGAAAAATATGTATTAAAATAATATGATTATTTACCTTTCACATTAATACGTGAAAGATACAGATATTCTGAATCTTCATTTATCACTTATTTAGTGCATCTTCATATTATGGAACTTATTTAGCATATCTTCATATTGTGGAACTGTAAAACACTTACCTTTGCTAGTAACATTTCCAATAGTACCTATAAAAATATTTTAAGAATTAAAGATTTTAATGTTTAACTTCTGGGAAACGTCAAAATTCTTCATCTAATTTTGTTACTTGATGTGTAGCATCCAGTTTGTGTCAGAATATAAGAAAAAAAAAACCCAAATGTTATGAGTTTAAATTTAGAACAAAAACAAGTTATTTACTTACAGATAGCCATAGCTTTCTCTCATTTAGCAGATTATATATATTAAAAGCCAATGCATGTTTATGTAAAAATGACAAAGTATTAGCTGATTCGTTTTCATTTAGTTTATAACCCATTCAACAATCAGCTGCTTCTAAATAGGTACTTTCATTATTGTGCATTTATAATGGAAATAGCTGAGATTCCTAAAAATAGTAAAGAATAAGTAATTGCCTTAATGATTAATCACCTGTAATTCGGCTGGTTCCAGAATACCAATGTGTATCACATTTCACTAATGATCATTACCTTCATTTTCTCATTTCTGCTTTCCATAAAAAAGGACTAATCAGTTCCAGGTCCTGTAAAATTTTAAATAGAAAACAAACTTAACTTGAGCTTGGAAATTATATTTTCACCATATGCTATCCAATTCAGGGACTCAAGTCTGATTCTGTACAGCCGAAAAAGCATGCCAGAGAAATCACCTGTTTGGAAAATCTGCAATTCTGACTTCATGCTTTAATTGGCAATTTCCGGTTATATTCTGTTTCCCGAGGGACACTGGGCACTACTGAAAAGACCTGAAATGTTGCAGGCTGCTATTACCACCTCTTTTCCCCTTGGTGGTCAGACTTGCTTCCTTTGTTCAGCTCACTTTTGTTTCTCAGCCCCTGAAATCTGCTTCACTTGGAGAAGGTTTCAGAGATTGAGAATTAAAAACCGTTGTATAACATAAACACAACTTATCCCAACATTTGGCCTTTGAAAAGGAGAGGCTGAAAAAGTGACAAAAGCTGTCTTTGAATCTATAAAATATTTCCCCTGCTATCCCACTTAAATTGGCAATGAGATTTCAAAACTGCGTTGCAGCAACGAAATCAGCAGATTTTCAACACACTTATCTTTTTCTTTTCACAGGAAATATCACGTGAAGACTAAAATAACCCCAATTTTGTTCGTTTCCTTGTTTGTTTTACAGTTAAAAAGCCATTTCATGCGCCAGCCACGGTATCTCATGCCTGTAATCCCGGCGCTTTGGAAGGCTGATGTGGGCAGATTACTTAAGGCCAGGAGTTCAAGAGCAGCCAGAGCAACATGGCAAAACCCTGTCTCGGCTAAAAATACAAAAATTAGCTGGGCGTGGTGGGTGTGCCTGTAGTCCCAGCTACTCAGGAGCCTGAGGCAGGAGAATTGCTTGAACTCGAGAGGCAGAGGTTGCAGTGAGCCAAGATGGCGTCGCTGCTCTACAGTCTAGGCAACAGAGTGAGACGCTGTCTCAAAAAACAAACAAACAAAAATTTCATGCAATAAAACGTGACTATGAAAAGTATTGTCGTCTGCTTTGTCGCCTGCTACCACTGTCTAGGTCCGAGTGGTTTACTGCACCACGAAGACAGATTCCAGACGCCATGAACTCATGCCCCCAATCTCAGATGCTATGTCCAGCAAAGGCTTTGTGGTTCTGGCCTACAGTGGTGGCCTAGCCACCTCCTGAATCCTCAGGTGGCTGAAGAAACAAGACAATGACGTCACTGACTACCTGGCCAGCATTGGCCAGAAGGAAGACTTTGAGGAAGCCAGGAAGAAGGCACTGAAACTTGGGGCCAAAAAGGTGTTCATTGAGGATGTCAGCAGGGGGTTTGTAGAGAAGTTCATCTGGCCAGCCATCCAGTTCAGTGCACTGTATGAGGACTGCTACCTCCTGGGCACCTCTCTCACCAGGCCCTGCATTCCCTGAAAACAAGTGGAAATCGTCCAGCGGGAGGGGACCAAGTATGTGTCCCATAGCACCACGGGAAAGGGGATCAATCAGGTGCAGTTTGATCTCAACTGCTACTGGCTGGCCCCCCAGATAAAGGTCATTGATCCCTGGAGGATGCCCGAGTTCTACAACCGGATCAAGGTCCGAAACGATCTGATGGAATACGCAAAGCAACTCTGGATTCCCATCTTGGTGACTCCCAAGAACCTGTGAAGCATGGACGAGAACCTCATGCACATCAGCTACGAGGCTGCAATCTTGGAGAACCCCAAGAACCAAGCACCTCCAGTTCTCTACATGAAGACCCAGGAGGCGGCCAGAGCCCCCAACACTCCTGACATTCTTGAGATCAAGTTCAAAAAAGGGGTCCCCGTGAAGGTGAACAACATCAAGGATGGCATCACCCATCAGACCTCCTTGGAGCTCTTTATGTACCTGAACGAAGTCTCGGGCAAGCAGGGTGTGGGCCGTATTGACATCATGGAGAACCACTTCATTGGAATGAAGTCCCGAGCTATCTACCAGATCCCAGCAAGCACCGTCTTTTACCACACTCATTTAGACATCGGGGCCTTCGCCATGGACCAGGAAGTGTGCAAAATCAGACAAGACCTGGGATGGAAATTTGCTGAGCTGGTGCACACCAGTTTCTGGCACAGCCCTAAGTGTGAATTTGTCCACCACTGCTTCGCCAAGTCCCAGGAGCGAATGAAAGGGAAAGTGCAGCTGTCTGTCTTCAAGGGCCAGGTGTACATACTCTGGTGGGAGTCCCCAATGTCTCTCTACAACCAGGAGCTGATGAGCATGAACGCGCAGGGTGACTAGGAGCCAATCAATGCCACCAAGTTCATCAACATTAATGCCCTCAGGCTGAAGGAATATCATCATCTCGAGAGCAAGGTCACTGCCAAATAGACCCCTGTACAATGAGGAGCTGGGGCCTCCTCAATTTCCACATCCCCCAAGTACGCTTGCTAATTGTTGTGATAATTTGTATTTGTGACTTGTTTTCCCTGACTGGCAGCGTAGTCAGGCTGCCAGGCCCCACCTCTGTTCCCTGGTCCCCCTGAAGCCTGTAAATGTCGTCATCAAAGGGAAGGATGGGGGGCAGCTGCGGTGGGGAACTATAAAATAACAATTAAAAGATTTTTTTTTTAATATTGTCTTGTGTAGATAAATGTTGCACTTGTTCATATTCTCCATCTAGTTGATTTAGAAACCTCCTTATTTCTGCTGGGGCACTGAGACATACCAACTTCCTGTCAGTTCCCAGGGCAATTTCCAGATCCTTTGCATATAATAATCTCGTTATCTGTTCTTTTTATTATTTTGTGCTTCTGATTTTCTTCATTCCTGAGTCCTTCATTGAAAAGTTAAGAATAATATCTGCAAATAGGTGTTTCATCAGGGGAAAAGTTTGTATAGAGAGTCATTTGAAGGACTCTTTCTCTTTTCTTTGAATGGCTTATCAAAAAACGATTCAGAAAACACATTCCCTCAGGCAATTTCAATCTATTCAAATCCCAGAGACCTTTAAAATGTTCGTTCCTAAACTGTCTGTTTTACTGTGTAAGGCTTTCTGGATGGCCTTGGAGGAAAGGGATATTGAAGAGAAGAAAGGAGATCCCTACCCTCCCCCTCCAACTCACAAAGACACCATCTGAGAAATGAACGTTCATCTGCATGGGTTATACTTAGCTGTGAATTTGAATTATCAAATCAGAAACCTAGGGGTAAGGAAGAATTGTAAAATCATTTGATGCTGATTCCTCTCTAAAACATCCCTATCGAGTGTTTCTCTGGCCTCTCCATAACTATATTTAGTAACAGGATGACAAAGCAGGAGCATCGCCATCTTGGACAAGCCTCTCATTCTAAAAGTTCACCTTAATAAAAAAAACTGCTTGAATCCAAAGGGCATCAGCCTAATGGCTAAGCTCAGCTTGACCATAAAGCATAAATAACATCTCCAACCAGCAACTCTCCAAACTCCTCCCCTACCAGAGACATGCTAGCACCTCTGGCTCTGGCTGGAAAGATGTCTCCCCCAAGATAATCTCCCCACTCCCAGAGAGATTCCAACCCTGTCATAAACTTCTCCATACACATAAACATTCCAAGCTTGTGATTAGCCCCGTCACCCTAAAACCAATATATACTCTTAGTCTGTAAGAGAAAGTGCTCCTGACTGAATTCAGCCAGGAGCGCCTGTCAGGTTTTAACTAAAGAAAACCTGTCTTTGACTGCCAAGCCGCGTTTAGTGTTTCTTCCTCTTTAGCTCTTACAGAGGGAATTAACCAAAAATAATCATAACTTGAAAGAAAAGGCTGAAACCCCTTAAGCCACGCCCCACCCTCCATGCTATCTCACTTTCCTTTCCTGAGGTAATCTCTATTTCAAGTCCCCATTCTCTTCTTTGCCTTTTTCTATGCTTGTTATCACATCTAAGTAGTCAATACATAGATTACCTATTTTGGCTATTTTTATTTAAAAAATATGGCTTGAAAAGTCTTCCATGCCATATAGACATGCTTCATTCTTTTTAATGGCTGCATAGTAATCTATCACATGAACCACAGTTTATTTAGCTATTCTCCTTTTAGGCTTTTTTTTTTTTTGCCCATTTTTCATTATTATAAACAGTCCTACATTCTTTCTATGCCTCCTTTTTGCAAGTTGAAGTGTTTCTTGAAATCTCTATAAAGATTGGATTCTTGTCATGAAATAGGAAAGTCAATGTTGGGGCTCAGAAACTGATATCCCAAAATAGGAGCTGTTGACATGCTAAACTGAAGAACTTTGAAGGTCTCTCTGACCTTCCCCACTGTCCCCATAGCCTCTCTCAAAGAAGTTGAAGTTCCTTTATCTGCCTAAGATCCAGACCCACCAAGGAGAAAATCTGTTTTCTCCTTCCCCTCCCTGTAAGACCAAGAATGTAACCACACCTGAACAGACCCTTGCACTGTCAAAGAGAATTATTTACAACTTAATCTCTATTCCTGGATCTGTTCATTCTCCCTAGTAATTTCCTCAACAGAATTCCTCTTTTCCACCCTTTTATAACCTGTTTTATCAGGATGATATTGTAAAAGTGAACTAAATATGGCCTGAGAAGGACTCTGTACTTCTATATCTGAGTCCTGGTGGATGAACCATAACCTAACTTAATAGGTAGACAAGATTGAAAACCTAACTTAGAAACCTGTAGCAATAGCTGAGTCTTGGCTGATCCCAGCAGTCATACTTCAACCACACATACACTTCTGAGTGTTCAAACTCAAATCATTCATTGCTCAGTTAAACTCCTTTAAACTTAATTCAGCTAAAGTTATTCTTTTAACAGTATACAAACTCCTGAACCTCCTTGGGGGATTAGGTCTTCATTCTGAAGGCTCCCGTGTATATATGCTAAATAAATTTGCCTTTTCTCCAATTTATCTGCCTTTTGTGAGTTGATTTTGTTACAGTCTCACTAATGCACCACAATGTAGCAGTCTCTTATTGTTAGGTACTACCTGGAGATCTTTGTCTAATAGCAGAAGAAATCAAGAATGTAGACACACCAAGAATGAGATTAGAGCAAAACTTAAAAAAGTAAAAGGGAGAAAGCTCTCTGCTACAGAGAGGTGTCCTGGAGAAGGGTTGCCATTTTTACTTTAAATGCAAAGGCTTTTATAAGAAACTGATGAGCGCTGGGTGTCTCATTTGCATAAGGCACAAATTTGTGGTAGCTGCACCCCATCCTCCTAATGTGCATGTAGGCCCTTAGCTTGAGTTACTCCATATTGCTTTGTTCCTCTTATTGAACAGGTGCCAGTGGACAGAATTTTCCATTGCAGGCATATCTGGGCAAGTCAGCTGTGTAGCCTTTCTTATCTGTGTGGCTGTGGGCATGACTTAGCCAAGCCTCCCTGTGCAAGTTCCCTTATCTGTGCCTGCATGATGTTCTGTTTGAAAGAATTCAACCAAGGACCCACACTAACTGCCTGCCTGGCTGGTTTTTTTTTCTTTCTCCTCTCAAGTTTTTGGTGAACCTTCAGAAAGCCAAGGTGAAAGCTCTCCACCGACTCCTAAGGTAACTAACACTGTAGCATTTTCTTTTTTGCAAATTCATTCAAGAAATATTTATCGAGTGCCTACTAAGTTCCAGACACGGTTCTAGAATAAGACAGAAAACAACCCTCTGAAAAGTTTCTTATTTAATAATGAAAATTACCTTCAACATTTGCCCAGTTTACAGGTAAGAAAAATCAAAGCTCAAAAAAGAAAGAATTGTGATTGGAATATATCTATCTGAGTCAAGAGTGCAGATTATATACCCATACCAGCACAAGTGGGAAACTCTTACTATTGAAAAGTTCTTTAGTCTGTTGAGATGCAACTCTTATATATTTCTGTTGTTTTCCTAAAATACTGTTTTTGGAGGTCAAGCCTAATCCCTCTTTCACCTTACAGTCTTTAAAAACATGCAGCCATAAAAAAGAGTGAGGTCTGGCTGGGCACAGTGGCTCACACCTGTAATCCCAGCATTTTGGGAGCCCAAGGTAAGCAGATCACCTACATGGTTTCACATGGTGAAACCCCATCTCTACTAAAAGTACAAAAATTAGCTGGACAGTGTGGCAGGCACCTGTAATCCCAGCTCCTTGGGAGGCTGAGGCAGAAGAAACAGTTGAACTCTGGAGGCAGTGGTTGCAGTGAGCCGAGATCGCACCACTTCACTCCAGCCTGGGTGACAGAGTGAGACTCCATCTCAAAAAAAGAACAAGATCATGCCTTTTGTAAGAACATGGTTGGAGCTGGAGGCCATTATTTTTAGCAAACTAACACAGGAACAGAAAACCAAATACTGCATGTTCTCACAAGTGGGAGCTAAATGATGAGACCCCAAGGACACAAAGAAGGAGACAATAAATAGACTCTGGATTCTACTTGATGGGGGAGGGTGGAAGGAGTAGAGGAGTAGAAAAGTTAACTATTGGCTACTGGGCTTAGTACCTGGGTGTTGACATAATTTGTACAACAAACTCTCATGACACTTGTTGATCTAAGTAATAAACCTTTGCATATACCCCCTAACCTAAAATAAAAGTTAAGAAAATATAACAGCTATAATTCTGGTATTCTTTATCCAGCAGGCCCTGTTCTAAGTACTTTATATATATTAAGTTCTTTAATCCTGACAACACATTTTTGTGCTTTAATTTGTTTTGCGAATACTTACATCACAGCTGATACTTATCAGGCATTGATTTGAGTACTTTTCAAATAATAATTCAGTACATCATCATAATAATTGTAAAGAGAAGTAACCTCTATTTTTATTTCTATTCTTCCTTGTCTTTTTCTATGCTTATCATAATATATAAATAGTCAAAACATATATTACATTCCTTTTTTGCTATATTTATTAAATATTAAACAACATGGCTTAAAAAATTTGATGTCATATAGACATGCTTCATGCTGTTAATATACAAATTTTTCAGAAGAGGAAAATGAGAGTTTAAGAGAGGTTAAGTAATTTGCTAAAGGTCACTGCCAGAATTCAGAGCACAATACCCAAAAGTACACACCCTTCACATGCTGAATATTCTGAACTCGTGAAGATTTGTGAGGGCTACAGAAGCAGAAAGGTCTCTTCAATGTTCTCTCACCCTCCTTCTTCCCCTGAAGTGGGTCACAGAAGCTAGAATTCCTCTTCCTTTAAGCAAATGAGAAAACCTGGGAAGCAGCTGGGCATGGTGGCTCATACCTCTAATCCCAGTACTTTGGGAGGCCAAGGCAGGTAAATAACTTGAGCCCAGGAGTTTGAGACCAGTCTGGGCAACATGGTGAGACCCTGTCTCTACAAAAACTACAAAAAATTAGCTGGGTGTGGTGATGAGCACCTGTAGTCTCAACTACTCAAGAGG